TCTACCGAGGGTGACAAAGTAAGACTCTGTCTCTAAAATAAATAAATAAAAGTGAAGAGTTTCTTTCCTGGAATCTTCTCTGGCCTTTAATGTGGCTCTATGTGTGCTGAGTGCCAGGAGGGATGTATAGTTCGTTTTCTAGTATGGATCTTATTTGACCAAAGAGCATTTGGCTCTTGGGGTGCCTGTTAATATCTTCACTATATGCATAGAAAGCAAGTTAGTTCCAACCTCAGCTGAATGAATTAAGGAAAAAAATAAAGTAGAAATTTAAGCTGACCTAGGTTTGTGAAATTTGAAATTTTAAGAAAGCTGTCCTCCCACCTTATCATATTATCACACAGTTACTGAGTGACTTGGGCCCTGGTTTCTTTTTTTTTTTTCCTTAGAGACAGAGTCTCAGTTTACCGCCCTCAGTAAAGTGCCATGACAGCCTGACACAGCTCACAGCAACCTCCAACTCCTGGGCTTAGGTGATTCATTGGCCTCAGTCTCCCATGTAGCTGGGACTATAGGTGGTTGCCACAATGCCCGGCTATTTTTTTGTTGCAGTTTGGCCGGGGCCAGGTTTCAACTTGCCACCCTCAGTATATGGGGCCAGCGCTCTACCCACTTAGGCACAGGTGCTGCCTGGGACCTGGGTTTCATGGGCCTACTTGCAGCTCTCTCTTCTCTTCCCCACCTCACCAATTGACTCTGAGGATAGTAAAGAAGATCCACTGGTTTCATAAACCCTAAGATTCAGATGGGCCCCCAGATTGGTCCTGTGCCACTTCACAAGACCTATCCCCTCTAGGTGCAGACGCCAGAAGTGAGATTTCAGCAGCAGCTGGAGCAGCTTAACTCCATGGGCTTCATCAATCGTGAAGCTAACCTACAGGCCCTGATCGCCACAGGAGGAGACATCAATGCAGCCATCGAGAGACTCCTGGGCTCCCAGCTCTCCTGATCCTCAGTCTGTGCCTCCTGCCTCTCCCTCCCTGCCCCTCTGCAGCTTGAGGTCCCTTCTGTCTTCTTCCTTGTCCTCTCCAAACAGCAGGTGATTTGAGAGGAGCTGCTACATCTCTAACAGGGTGTTCCCTCCTCAAGCAGAGTTACTTAAGCAGGTTTCAAGGTTTAGTTGACTGGCCCCATCTTCTTGCCCCACACAACCATTTGCAGTCTTGAGACTCCTCAGTGGCAATGCAGAGTTGAAGGAAGAACCACCTCTCCAGGTCACTAGAGTGGTCCTTCACCTATGCCATGCGGATATACCTTGTCTGATTTATTTCTGGCAACACTCTTCTTCTCCCTCTCCCTAGCTTCACCCCAACCAATGCTAAAATATCACACTCAGAAGAAAAGGCAGGCAAAGAGCTATCCTTCCTCTTCAGCCTGTCTGGTCCCTTCATTCTGCACTTTTTCACAAGCTCTGTTGTGACTTCCAGGGTAAAAGGAAGATGCCTGTTCTCCCTGTTGACAGAGCAAAAGAGACATAGCCCTCTAGTCGGGATTTAACAAGTCCAAGACAAGCCAGATGGAGGCTGGTATGGAAGAGGGAATAAGATTTTAGGGGGAAGGAAATGGGGATGATGGCATGAATTGACAGCAAGGGAGCGGAAGTTCTGATAGCTCTTTGAGGTTGGAGAGGCCTGGCAGAGCAGACTAGTGGTCTAAAGGAATTTGATTTGAAGAAAGGCTCAGTGACACTAAGCAGTATGACCCCTAAGGCTCATTGACCCCATTTCCTCAAACACAAATGCTTATGTGCACACACACATTTCCATGGACCCAGGACCTGCTTGTGTCCCTAGGCACCAGTAATTTGAGCCCCCTCAGAAGACATGGAGGGGGATGAGGTCTGTCTGAGCAGTGAGGTGGGCAGGGAGTGGGTTCTTGGTTTCTTTTGGGAACTCTCTCCCCCAGAGACAGTCATGTAGAGTGAAGAATAGGCAGACACACCTGCAGGAGAGCTAGCGCCCTTGGGCCTCTGGATGCTGTACCCACAGGTAGTGTGGGTATCCTTTCTGAAGCTGTCGGGTGTGAGCAATACCCTATCACACTTCACTGGGGGAAACAGTATAGAGGTTTTCCCTCCAGAGACCCTGGCTGTTGGCATTCTAGCCCCTGCCCTTTTAGTTCTTCACTATTTCCCTCCAGGTTAGAAAGTTGTATTTGAGAAAGAAGAGGGTAGCGATGAAGCCTTTGATCTGGAAGTGGACACTCCTTTTTGATCTCCTCTGGAGCACAGAGGAGGTTCAAACCATCTCTTCCCTCTATTACTTGGCTGAGCTGCTTGGAGGACCCCATGGCTGAGAATGTGGAGGCAGGAGGAACAGATTGTGCTTCATATGGGAGGGTCCCAAGCAGTCTAGACGATGTCTGTGTGGCTTTCCCTCCCTCCCTGCCTCCCTCAACTCCCACACTGGCCTTTGTAAATAAATAGTGTGGTCTTTATTGTGAGAGTGTGTTGGTTTTTATTCTCAGAGAAGAAGAGGCTGGCTGAAGATAGGATCTAGAGAAATTTGAAGTTGGGTTGTTACCACAGGTGTGAGGAAATATTTCAGGTTAAAGAATAACAGGTCTGGCT